GTCTCATAAGTCTTTCGAACTCTTCGACCTGAGAAGTTCTTGCAGCTCGTTTGAATAGAAATATTGCACTTGCGTTGTTGTAACGCTGAATTAAGTTCTTCTCCAGATGCCAAATACAGTATCCATAGTGAGAGAGAGGAAATACGTGAGCAATGACGTTAGAAATACTATTTTTCCTATCGAAAATAAAAACCAATTCATTCGAGTCGCCTATAAACTCTTTCAAGTTTGACATAAACCACATCCACGATCTATTTGTTTCGGCATCGACGATTTCCCATGCTACGGGATAAATCTGTTTGTTGACATCTTGGCCGGTTGCTAGCAGAAGTGTACCTTTGCATGGACCTTTCAAATGACTATCGTCAACACAAATAATAAGCCTCAAGTAGTGCATGTAATCACAAATGATTGCACTGAAAGCCATGAAAAAGTAATGAAACATGTTACGGGAATCAACTTCAATGTGGATTACTGTCCCCGGGTTACTTTCTCCTAGGATGTGACAATATGAGGATAGTTTTTGGAAACTATCCCCCGGTGTACCGTGTAGCATATGTAAAGCAGCCACCTTTATGTGCTTTTTTGTAACTTATTTTCACACCAAACTCGTGTTCCATGTCACTTGCAATAGCGGTAGGATTGTACGATCGGTATGGATTATCCAATTTTCTCAAAATATGCTCAGCAATTACAGAAGTAATGGCATGTCGATGTCCGTTACGACGGAAATCTACGGAACATGTGTGTACATTGTTGAATTACGGATCATGAATATTGTGGACTACTTCACACTCGAAGCCCGTAACATCCACTTGCAATTATAGTCTGCGCATACGACAATTAACATTTTGAGGTTTGACCTGCTGACCTTAAAAATGAACTTGTCCTGCAAAGCAAACACATGAATTTTCAAGTATAGCTCTTTCTTGCTGAAGAATATATGTCGTTCAACAAGATCGGATGTATTTACACTTGTAATCCATTGGTATGTATCCGAACTTTGGGAATCTGATGACATTCCCTCGTCAACGTTTGTAATATTAGCACCATTTGTACCATATAATAGGTCGTCCAACATCTCATCTAATGGTGCAGCCCCGATGTATTCAATTGGGCCATCGGCTACATTATTGTTTGGGGCACTAGGCTCATGACGGATGTCATCGTGTTGTATGTTATGGGAACCATCCGCTGCTCCAAACGAAGGGCCATGCAAATTTGTATTTCTCCCCATGTCAACACTCGGCAAATCAGTTTCCAAAATAGTAATGCAAAGGGCAATTTCCGTATGAACATATTTGTACCAAATTAGGTTTTCATCTTCACATATTTCGACCGGTGGTAAATTGAAGTTCGGGACTCTGAACTTCAATTTAATTTTGGTGCGCGGATTAATAACACCAAGTTTGTCATTCAACAGTAACAGAAGTCCGGCTATGGTAATACTTCTCGACATTAAAATGGAAGTGGTTTTATCCCCTGTCCACTTCCATTCGTCATCCACGTGAATAACTTTCCTCCATATGATACGATGAATTTGAAATGATTGTCCATACCTGAAATATTGAGATTATAACGATAAGAATTCTGTACAATGAATATGTCGATATATAATAGCATGGAAGTGGCACTTTCGAATATTTAAACTGATACAAAAACAACAAGGTGAAATGAAGGGCGTCAACAGTATTCAACTGTCGATTTCAACAGTTAAAATGTCTAACCCGACAGTTTAGAAATGTCAAGTTCGATAGTTCAACTGTCGGAACTGTCGACAAGCTTCAAACGATTTGGTACCTTGTTCGAAATATTAATGGTTATACTAAATTCTCAACTACAACAACTACATCATCACAGCATCTGTCCAGAAATAAATGACTGAATGCTTCATTAAATATGGAATGTCATACTTAACATTTGCCCAAATCTTTTTGGAATTTCTTTTTGGTATCTTTTCCCTTCAAAAATATTTCACAAATCAAGAGTATCATGATTAATAAGAGTTTCAAAATTATTCTTCACCTTGATGATCATGTTATTTTTAACATTTAAAAAAGAGAAAGCTATTCGATAAAAATACAAATAATTCGTAATAACTAACCTCTTAAAATGACTGATGAATCTAATAGTTGTGTCTTCTTGATCAAGGAATGAAGAAGAATGATGAAGTGAGGGTTTGGTTGGAGAAGATATTTGGTTGATGTTAAAATAGGGTTTTGTACTTCTTTTATCTCTCTTTTTTTTTTTTTTTTGTAAATTCGTATTAGACAATAGAATATACATAAATTCATAGATTATAATATATAAATTTAAATAACCATGATTATTATATATAAATTTAACTAATCAAATCATAGCATTAATTGGATTGGAAAGCTAGCATTAAATGCTCCTAAAAAGGGGAAATGAAGGGTAAGTTGGACATTTCTAGTTGAAAAAAGTGACATTTTTGATAAAAAATTTGGTGCACATGCAAATTTTTGGTGCATTTTAAAAAAAAGTGACATTTTTTATAATTCCACTTATTTTTACTTTATACATATTTTTCAATTTTTCAGCACAAACATATTGCTCAAAATCGTATTTGTAGTTATTTTGAATTTTATGTTATAAAATTTTTCTTGTTTTCGAGAACCCATTGTTGAAGATAACATATCAAACACGTTTTGAGTGTTTTAGAAAATTAAAAATGACCTAAAAATAGCAAACTAAACGCACTCTTAGCCTTCATTTAGCAAAATTTATAATAAGAATAGTAAAAAAAATAATAATAAATTTCATGAATAATATTTGTAATTTTGAGTGCTCAATAAAATTATTATTTAAATTTAACATATAAATTTTTGTGGAATCAAAGACTCAAATTTAATATCCCATTTGGCCCCATTAATTTTCATTCCATTCCATTTCATTTTTTTCTTTCCTATTTTCAAACACACAATTTTCGATAAAATAATATTATATATAAACCAAAAAATTTTCTTTCTTTTTCAATCATTTATTTTTCAACAAAATATCATATTACCCATTTTCATTTCCGCAAAATGGGCAAATGAGGGCTATCACTTGCCATCCATTGCTTCTAAAAAAAAAAAAAAACAACAACAAATGTTTTGTCTTCGACTCTGAGCTCCATGTGAGGACTCCGCCCAAAATTTATTCCTCAAATCCCAACCGCCAACCCAATTTCTTAGTCGCTTATAAATACATTTTGCATAGATGAGGAACATATATTCATGGCTACACAGAATGTAGAACCCATACATTTCATAGACACCAAGGACAAGATTGATGACAAAAGCCCTCTTCTTCTTGGTGCCTTCTTCTTCTTCTTCTTATTCTTCTTAACTTTCTTGTTTGCATACTTTCTCTATGTCTGCACACATCGCCGCCGTGCCAGCGGCAGCTTCACTACCAACCCCTCGAGATCTCCTCCGGGCCTCGACACCACCGCCATAAGCAGCCTGCCAATGTTTTCATATGGATCAAGTTCCAATGCTAAAAATTCAAGCCCAGAATCGGAGTGTGCAATTTGTCTAAGCATGTTTCAGGAAGGAGAAAAGGTGAAGGTTTTACCTAAATGCCACCATGGTTTTCATTCAGAATGTGTTGACAAGTGGCTTATAACTCGCTCGAGTTGTCCTCTGTGCAGAGCCTCAATACATCGAGTTGACTCAATATGCCATGGCCATGGTGACTCGGAGATTTCATGAATTTTCAAGAAAACTCTAGGAACCATGTTGCAATAATAGAATTTGTTGAATATTGTCACTCTTTATTTTATTTTTGCTTAAATTTAATCAAAAATTTGGCATGAGTAGTATCAGATCCCAATGGAATTAATGCGCATTGAAAAATGTGCCATGATATAGTGTCAAATTCTATTTTCATTTTTTTCTCTGTCGCACAATTTGCTTCTTGATGCAGACTTACACCGCAATAGCATCAGAATGTGTAACTCCCCCAAGCCTAAACATAAAAGGATTTTGCTAGTATATTACTTTTGTACCACTTTGTTACCAGAAAAAGTGTGTGGTCAAAATTTATTGGATAAGAAATAGTTTTTTTAGAGCATTCTGTAAAAAAAAGAAAAAAAATTGTCAAATAGAATGTACATTAGGCATCATTAACATAAAAAGCACGATAGTTCTTGTGATAGTGTGATTGGCCATGCCAACATGCCTCTATAGTCGAGTCGTGCTTGCTGGCTCATAAAGCACATCCCTCCATGCCTCTATGTTGGCTTATGTTTATTAATATTCTAATTTTTATTTTTTTTTTCATTCGCACATATTGAAAGATTCAAAAGTACTATTTATTTATTCAAAATTTAAATCGTATATATACTTTTCAAGCATGTCTCGAAAGATTATACAGGTCATATGAGGTCCGATATAAGTTTAAAGCTGCTAGTGTAACAAGCTCGAATTAGACCTTGACTCTATGCTTATGCACATGGATATCCATTTCGAAATTACTTAAAACCTCGCAAAGAGTCTTTTATAGACTTAGTAATCATTGACGTTAAATGTTAAGTAAGAACTTTCTGTTTTACCATTGGGAAAAAATAATAATAATGACCAATGTTGCCATGAAAGTGAAGTCTTGATTTCTCGCTAAAATTTAGTGATGAGTTCGAACCATTGTCAAATTTGGAAGATATTGTAAAAGTAGCCTTTTTTAATAATTTGTTTAGACTCTGGTTGTTGTCCAAATTTATCAATAATACTCGTAGTTTATATATCTGGTTTGCAAACACCAATTATG